AAATAATAAACTACTTATAATATATGTATGAATAATTTCAAAAAAAAAAATTAAATTTTTGTTCACTTAAGAAAATAAGCACAATAAATTGTACATATATTTTTTATAATTATATAAAATTTAAATAAATTATAATTTTTTCTATATAAAATATCAAACCCCACGCTTTTAATAATCAATTTTCTTTAATATTAAAAGTATCAGTTATTTAACTAATTTAAAAAACATATTATTACTTTTATGAGGTTTTAAACGGATCAATGAATATTATATTGCAGATTAATATAAATTTTTATGATTATTATGATACTTACCTGGTTTTATTAAATTTTGAATTAATAAAAATTTATTATGGGATGCACCGATTCAACTATGGGTCTGAGTCATATATGAAAACACTACGTTAAAATCAACATTATAATAAAACATTTTTAAATATTAATAGAATATTTTTAAAAAAAATTGTGTTTAAATATTTAATTCAAATAAATTTATCAAAATAGTAATAATATATAGACATTTATAAATCGCGGATCAAAATCTAGTTATGATTATACCACAAATTCATCTTTATATCATTCTCTTTTAGTATTATTTTTTCAAAGAAAATACACCTAGAGCACCAGGTCACATTCATACAAAAAATCTCTCATTTCATTCAATCTACTCCGAGAATCGTGATTGGCAACTCAATGGATTAGAAGTCGGGGTTGAAGCTCCTATCACTGGTATCGTTAGTCGTTATTCACCTATTTTTCTCTACTCAAGACAAAATGAATTTTGACTGGGTTATGAGTCCGAGGGTAAGATCATTTATTCATTGACTACTATAGCAATATTTGTTTTTTTTTTTTTTTTTTTTTGAAACCTATAATGAAGCAATGTTTCTCCTTAGCTCAATTGATTTGGACTCGCGGAAAAAATCAGAGTCAGAGTTCATGTCACTCATTACTCATATGAATATTTAATTTCTTAAAACCTTTAGAGATAGGTATTGATTTTAACAAAAAAAATTGAAAATTATTAAAATCTAATTTACATATATTTTATAATTATTTAAAACAATTTATAAAAAAGTTCTTTAACCAATATTTTATTAATTAACAGTGTACTATCTATCTATACTATTTATTTGCGAAGTGATTTTTCACAATGGAGCTCTCACGTTAAAAGTTGGAGCGGTTAATATCTATTTAACCCTTAATGAAAATTTTATATATAACTAATTTGATAATTAAAAACGAAATTTTAAAAATAAAATTAGATTAGTATGTTATTATCTTAGATAACTGAGAATAATTATTATAATAATTTTATAAAAAAAATCAAAAATAAAATAATTCTTAGATATGTTATTATTATCTGAATATATAATATTGTAACAACATGATATATATCTTAATTTTATATATAATTGATTTTGACTTTTGAAAATAATATCATTCTATTATAAAATTTAAAAATTAAAATATAAAAATCGATTTTAATTAAATATTAATTAAATAAAAACATTTGTATAAAGATACTTTTATTTATATAATTAAATATTAGATATTGAAAATTGGAATGGTTCAAGTTAATGATACCTTTAATGAAATTTATATATTTATATATAAATTAGTTAAAAACGAATTTTATGTCAGTGATAGAAATTTATATGTTATTATATTAGTTAATTTATTATAAATTAATAGGATAATTGTCCAAATTCATGCATATTTAAAATATAAATATCTTATAGAATACTATACAGTTATCTGGAAATAAATTTTTATTATGAAAAATAAAAAGTGTAAGTTATAAAGCAATTTAAAATTAAATATTAAGAAAAAATATAAATATATTTTCAAAAATATTTTATCATGTGGATGTTTTTCAACACTATAATAAGCATATAGATTTTGATGACTATTATTTGCGAAGTGAT